AAAAAAAAAAAAATTGTTTATTTGTAATGAAATCAGTTTAGTTCACAAGCAAGTGAAGATCCTCTGCTATCCGTCTCCATACATTATCTTTGTATTCATTATCTTTGTAGTTTTTGTCCTTTTTATCATAGATAACTGAATTCGCTGAAACAAATTGGATTAAGCGGTCCGCCATGTTGAATTTGACGTGTCAAGCTGCATTTTGATTGGTCAGAAGTGCTGCCGTCGCCGCGACGAGTTGGAAAAATCGACCCGGAGGCGAAAAAAATTAATGTCGCTTTTCGCGTCGTGAAATTACGTCGGCGGTGTGCAATGTATCATTGACAAGTTATTGGTTCGAAAAATATTATTGACGCGCAAATAAATTGCGCGTTAAATTCGCGTCTGGTGTGAAAGGGCCTTTACTGTAAATATCAATTGTACATATCCATCGGTTAATTAGTTCATAGTAGAGTGTACATACTGTAAATACTGCACACTCTGCACCCCTGTTATTGCACTTCTGGTTAGATGCTAAACTGCATTTTGTTGCCTTGTACGTACATGGGTAATGACAAAGTTGAATCTATCTAATCTAAAGGGAGTTTTTCCTCCCCGCTGTCACCAAGTGCTTGCTCAAGGGGGATTTGTTGGGTTTTTCTTCTATAATAATAGTAAGATCTAGACCTTACTTTGTAAAGTGTTCTGAGATTACTTTTGTTGTGATTTGGCACTCTACAAACCGCAGTGACCTTCTAGTGTTCCCAAGAATGTCTGGTGGTGCCTTTCATGAGCAAAGTGGCAGAATGAGATGAGTGAATACTGTAGCTAAAAGGAATGTTTTCCCAAACAGGGAACATCTTACTCACCTTGGCTATTATGACCTCTTTGCGCAGTATTTTCATGGCATAATGTACTCCAGTGGACCTCTCTTTGACCAGTATCACCTTCCCAAACGTCCCCTTGCCAAGCAGCTTCAGGTACTCAAAGTCACTCATTGTCTGTAACATACACAAGGCCGAGGGGTGAGAATTCATTAGAAATGTGAATTTTAATTGGTAAAAAATGTGTACCATTACAAAAACAGGTCTAAGTAAAGAAATGTCAAATGAAGATGTTTTTCTAGCCAAGTCATACTGTGTTTCTCATACACCTTCACAGCACTGAGGAATACTGAGCCTCCTCCTATTGTTAAGTTAGTTAGCACATGAATATTTTCTATAGACTGTGCTGGAAATCCAGAAAACACAAACGTAAAGAGGACAAGCTGTTCACAGATGGTCCATTGTCATGGTTGGCATGTGTTTGTGTGTGTTAAGAGACAGAGTGGGGCATGAAGAGACTGAGGAAATATATGCACTACATTCAACCCTACATTGAAATAAGATTTAATCTACTTTAAAATTTAGATGTGGTAGCCAATGCTGATATTGTGGTGGCCACCACAAATAAATCAACATATGGGAAATGCTGAAAATATAAAGTGGCAAAATGCCACTGTGCAGTCTATAGTGTCTTCCAAAGCACATATTGCCTCCTCCTGTGTGTTTTCAAATTAGGGAACAAACTTAATGGCGCCTTAATTTCACTGTATTCAGTCAGTCATTTGGATCACACTGTAGCTTGCTGAATGTTATGTCCAAAACAACTCATCCTCTCACCACTTTGTTGCGGCTCTTGGACATAGCCACCTCCATCTCTTCCAGGCTACTTTCACTAGGTGAGCCAAACACTTCCATTGGTTCGTCGTCCTCCTGTTGCCGCATCTTCAGACTATTTGCTACGGACTGGATTGCCCGTATCCACTCCTCTCTGAAGCAAAAATTCCAGAAATTGCCAGGCATTACATCACTTATGCCTCAACAAAAATACACCAAGTATTGGAGAGTCTGTTACATGCAGAGGCCACTGAATGCAGGGCGAGACTGTGGGTGACCAGTCTCATTTTATGACCAAATATACAGTGTTTAAGGTGCAACTGACTTTTTTCAAAGGTTGTACTGAGTGCGACTGCAAAATAAATATGCTATACACAAATGACTGCTCTCACTGTAGAAATGGTGAAGAGATGTAACAACCTCTGCAATACTGTTATCGAAACGTTTATCTGTAGGTCTGTCACTTGCTGGTCTCATGAAACAGAGACTTCTCATTTATCAAACATGTCAATCCACACAGACTCCGAGACACATGCATTATTCCTGGATTCCTTTTTTCTCTTAGACTATTTTTTTTTCACCCCTCCTTGAACCGCCACCTTATTGTGGTGGAGGGGTTTGAGTACCCGAGTGATCCTAGGAGCTATGTTGTCGGGGGCTATATGTCCCTGGTAGGGTCTCCCAAGGCAAACAGGTCCTGGGTGACGGGTCAGACTAAGAGCAGTTCAAAACCCCCTTATGAATAAAGTTAGATCAAGGACCATGACGTCGCCTGGCATGGCGCAGCCGGGGCCCCACCCTGGAGCCAGGCCCGGGGTTAGGGCTCGAATGCGAGCGCCTGGTGCCCGGG